TGTTAGTGACAAAGATTAATGATCTTTAACTATTATGTGCGACGGTTATAATGTTAACGTAAAAAGCAATTCTCTATAAATGTTTAAACGGAACTCATATTTCTTTCGTTAATGTATGTGTAACTCACGTCGCATTTGCAGTTGTCGATACTCGATGCCGAGTTATTTTTCATAGTCGTTCACTTCAACTACTTCTGAAACAGTTACTTTCTTTCGTCATCAAGGAAATAAGAATCATGTGGCGATGTTTGTTCTGGATCATTACACTTTCTTGTCTAATCGAAAGTCAAAGTCGTCTGCTTCTATCAAATCAGTTACGCGAAGACTTTTTCGCGGATATCTTGAGCAAAGTATTGCAAACGTCACGACCTAAAGATGTTCTTCTCATACTTCGAGATTCACTGTTAGACGGGCAGATGAATGATATTCTCGGTAAAATAGCTGCGACGACAACTCAACGTGTACCGACACTTTATGTAAACGCAGATCGGATGGAGCCAGAGTTTCGGGTTTCTTCCTGGGCAATGTCACGCGATCTAGTCGTGTATATCTATGTCTCAGGGCGAGGACCGGATATCGTCGAGGGCGAGCTCGTGGCCGAAGACACGAAACGCTTCATTCACAACCGCTCCCGGTCTAAGGTACTTGTACTGATGATACTTCGTCGACCGTGTCACGACCTCACGAAGCTGTTTCGAGCAATGTGGTCGAAGAAGATTCTCGACGTAATCGTCGTAGAATACTCTAAATTAGAGTATTCCGATAAATGGTCAACGATTATCCACCGATATAATCCGTTCAAGGACAGTCATACCGAGGAACCATATTCCGCAGATGTTGCATGGTTTACAGAAGACTTTCCAAATATGCAGGGTTATCCACTCATATATGCTTTTACCCGCCGACCTCCCAATAGCGATATTGTATCAACATCTAACGGACAGGAACTAAAAGGCGTGGACAAGATCTTGAATGAGATTCTAGCGGATAAAATGAACTTCACTGGTATACCTAAGATAATAACACAACCCATCTATTTTCAGATAATGCCTAATGGCTCTCAACATGGCATCGTGATTGACATATCTTCTGGAAAATATGACGCTCTCCTGACTTTTTTACCAATGTGGGGAAATATTTACAATAATGCACAATGCGACATACAATTCAGCAATCCTATTCACATCGAAAATTGGTGTTTTGCAGTGCCAAAGTTGCTTGCAAAGCAGAATTTCATATCCGATACTGCAATTCGAGTACTTCTTATGAGTATCTTGATTGTAGGAATCTTCTGGTTGTGTTCAAGATTTATGAAGTTCAATCCGAACAGATGGCATTCTTTGAGGATTGTTGGTATGATGTTGGCCACATCCTTTCCATCGGCACCCACGAAGCTACACGAGCGAATCATTTTTTTCAGTATCGTTGTTATTTCCACTTATTATTCCTCAATGTTTTTCGCTGAATTGACGAGCACTAATTTCAAAAGCAATCGTTATATTCAGTTCAACAATTTACTAGATCTGATAAACTCAGATTTGACGTTGATGATACAAGAAAATGTGCCGGATGTCATCAAGATCAATAACGTCTTCGAAAACTACATACGCAAATCAGGCAAGAAAATCTTAAAGGTTTCCTCAACGGATATCTGTCTAAAGGATCTACTGATGTATCAAAACGTCTCCTGTTTTATGGATGAAAACTGGGCCGAACTAATCGCGATCAACAACATACGGAATGGCGAGACCGTAATAACGATGACGAAGCTCTGTTGTCTGTCGCCACCAGTCGGTACTATTTTTTTGGGAGGATCGCCTTACATCAAACGTGTCAACGACTTATTTCTTATGCTCGCGTCAGGAGGCATTCGCGATAAATGGCATCGTGAGTACCTGAGAAACGAGACGAGGAAATCATTTCAATTAAAGCAAGATCATGTGAACTTTAAGTACATTAGCGTATTTTATCCGGCGATTTACGTACTTATAACGGGATATTCTGTCTCTGCTTTCATTTTCATCGGCGAATTGATTTGGAAACGTTTTTATGTCAATTTAATATAAAATTATATTTGTTTCAATAATGTATTATAAATCGATCTTAAAGAATAATAGAGAAAAAAAAATATATATAAGCAATATTGGACCGTGATATAGTTACAATAAACGAAACTATTGTCAAAAATTTGTTTCTACTTTCATGATCAATCAAATATTTATAATAGGAAAAATGATTTTGCTGAAGTATCTAAAAATTTAATTTAGACACAGATCGATCTAAAAATAATTTTGTCGAACCGTAAAAAATAATTATCTAAATTCTCTCTAAAGCACTGAATCAAAAAATGCTATCGCTATTGAGTAATATAATAAAAAAAAAAGAAAAATAAATATCATGTCTTATTTACTAGATTACTAGCGTTCCATGCACTACATTTTTTTTTAGTAATAAGTTTAGGAATAAGGTTCAAAACATAAAAAGACGTACAAGTAATTAAACCATTAATAATTAATTAAGCATAAATTTTTCGTACATTTCGCATTTTTAATGACAAATTATTGATAATCTAGACATTTTAACTCCTTGATTCTACTCCTTGATTCTACTTTCTCTCAAGTAACGCGAGCAGTTATTTGTACAGAGTGTTTGTGCCGAAAATCACATCGAAAGTAATGTTTCAATCTGTATTATTTCTGTAAATACTTTTATTTATCTAATAAAATTATAAATCTAAAGAAATACAATCTCCTCAGTAAAAAATATTTTGTATTTATGTTGAAAACTTGAAAACGTCCACTCAAGTCCTTGTTAAAATTTTGTTTTAACATATTTAAATGTTAATTTAACATAATGTGATTATATTATTTAAATATTTTGTGTTAAATTGATATTCAACATTTCTTAATAAAAGTAATATAATTTATGTTCAACAAAATTGTTTTTAGATTTGTACCTAGCTAAATTTTTAAATGCTTCAGCAATTCTTTCGTGTAATTTGAGAATTGGTTCCCTCGAAGCGACATTATCAAATAAACAGACGTTGTTGCGAATCTGATGACGGCTGCGATACCAGTGGTAATAATGAGACGCGTACTTTAATCGCGTTTCGCTCACTATGAAATGCAGTTAATCTTCGTTATTGCAAGTACGTCGTGACGTCGACGCGTAATCGTTATATACGGCGTGAGATGGACGCGAGCAATTTTGATCAATGTAACAGTTTCCTCAAACAAGCGGAACGCCTCCGACCTGCTCTTGCGAACGCGAGCGTATCGTTTACGTGAGTCAGTCTCGCTTAGGTCGAAAAGCGGTCCTCGTTTCGGGAACAAAATCACCGGCCTGAAGAGCGGGCATGCTTCTTGCTTATTTTTTCCCCAAAAACAGCCAATTTCGTGTAATCTTCTTGCGAGAGCGGGGCGTGGCCCAGACCACAGGGATACTTGGTAGGCAACTGCGACGTGTGTCATTAACCGAATCCTTCAACTGACCGTGGTCGGTCTCTGCTTCTCCTTTTCGAAGTTGAATGAATAAGTTTAGAATTACGAAGGTGCGGTCCTCCCGGATTGATCGAAGTTAATGATTGCATAGCAATAATCTCTAATACGTTATATTTTTTGAAAAATTCCGAGGAATCGAATATCGTTAAGCCGGTTTGATTGACATGACGATTAATGGTTAGACACCATAGAATCATCGAATCGTCGAAGTTTTAATGTCACGATAATTTTTCGAGATTTTTCACACATCTTTTATTGTCATCTCGTGTAAGATACATGTCCGAGTGTGACCTAGATGTTCAGTTGTACTGAAGTCTCGATTGGAGACTCTCGTACTGAAGACCATGTTGCATAGAAGCATAAACATTTAACCCTTAGTACAAACGATTTTCTAGTTCTTTACTAGACACGATGGATCATTCGCATCTTAAATTAATTTTTTATCACTTTAAGTATAAAAAAATTATTAAATAAATCAAGTAAGGAAAGAGCCAATACGATCGAAGATCTTAGTGCCTAATAACAAATAATATTTTTATATGGAAATTCTAAATACTCTTTCAGTTACATAAACTGTGCATCACACTTACTGTTAAACTTAAAACTCAATCTCAAACTGAAGCTGAAATAATAACATCATAATTCAATTGATCGTCGGTTTGATAATAAAAATAATATGATGTTACTAATATTTTAAAAAGTTGTAAAGTTATCAAGTAATTCTCATATATATTTCAACATCTTTAAAAAATATTTATAAAGTTGTGTATAAAAAAAGAGCATAGAGATTATTATTTAGTCTAATGCTCTTAGTATTTCAAAGAAAAGAAATGCACATAATACGAATGACTTAATCATGTATTAAAAGGGTAATATCAAAGATTCAAATATCTCACGAAAAAAAAATCACATGAAAATTCTTTCCATCTGTAACACATACACGTATGTACTTTAATATCTTAATTGAACAAGAAATCTCCAAGCACACATCTCCATCGCAATTTGAGCGTGCAAGAACTTAACAACCGGGATGCAGGCGTAAAAGCGTTTTAGTACCGCGCTATTAAACAGCTAATCTATTTTAAAATTAATGTCGGAAAAGAGCTGATACTATCGTGGCGAGACCAGTCTGGCCGGTCGGCGATTGTCGACCCGGCAGCGAGAGTTCTTCATGAGCTCTCCTTCCGTTTGCTGAATGACGATAAACAAACATTGCATCGATACTATCCATCTTCGCGCGGACGTTACGCGTGATCGACCGTAAACGCGTCTTCGACTATGAGGTAGAGGTCCCATCTGCTGACGATACCGTCATTACCCCACCGCCGCCCGGTTGTTCCCGCCGCAGAATCACCCTCCACTTCCGCCTGGCTTGGCAGCCACTCCTCTCAGCAGCCTCCGTTGATACTTCCTCTCGCGCGCGTGTATCTCGTCAGTCGGCCTGGAGCCACGTGCGTGTACTCGCTCGAGTGGCTGCCGCACGAGCGACACATCGGACAGTGTCACTTCGCGCCGATGAATCGCGGATTGAATCGTCCTACCGCGCTTCCGATGACAGATGAATGTCTTCGCACGGAGTTATCGGTGTAGAAAGATGATTACATTTCCCGATTCATTCGTCTTCATTATCGAAAAATCGTTCTATGAAGCTGGCTGTAGAGAATGCAACTTCTAATGGACTGAAAGAGATATCGCTTGCTGATGACATACGCGGGATAGAATAATAGAACTTGGCAAAAAACTGAAGAGTAGTTAAAAAGCAACCGATTTGCTGATTTATTTGTGTCAAGATGTTGAGGCTAACAAACAATGCAACTAAGATATTAAATGTTACTCTACCTTATCGAGGAACAAATGTGACAAGATATTAATGGGTGTAGGATGCTTGTTCGTATATAACGAATCTAAGATCTAGTAATTTGCGAATGTTGAATGCCGGCTCAAAGAAGGCTCGAAATATCTCATCGCGGGTTCATCGATCAAGCTTATCGGGACGCGGCATGATTCGCCGCCAATACAGACGTATGCAAGAGAGTACTTCGGGGAAGAACAAAGATATCATCGCGAGCTGAGAGCAACTAAATAGCTCTCAAAGGTGAAGACAGACAGTCTTGGAAGTCCAGAAAACTAAAAATATCAGCCGGTTCCGCGGTTGTGCGTGCCCGCAGTCCTGCCACGTCGTGCTCCACGCTGGACAATTTTACCGGCTGGAGAGGAAGAGTGATATCTCCATGAAACAGGGCCCGCCTTTAATCTCGCGGATGGCAATTCGCGGTAAACGACTATCAGGAACGATCGTCGTTACCGCAACGAGTCCGTCGACAGACCGGACATTCACGCGGAACGCGATCACGCCACGTCTTTATGCGTAAACTACGGTGGGCTACGTCTCCATTTACTACCACTACTCGCTAGCCGCTGACGTCTGTCATCATCTGCTATCGCTGTACATTGCTCCCATCGGAATAACATCGAAAATAGGTATATAAGAATTAAAATGCCAAAACAGAGGCTATTAACGTCTCTTCGCGACGTCTATCAGTTAATCTTGATGCACCGATAAATTTTTTCATAACTTCGAGCTATTTATTCTTTCGAATATATTGAAGTACCGAGGTAAGATCTCCCCCGTGTACGTTATTTAGGGAACTGAGGTATATAGTAATGAAGGCTTGCGTTCTTCAAGGGGTAGAGACGTCAAGCACGATCTTTTGATCTTGTAAAGATTTGCACGCGAGAACGAAACGTCAAACGGTTTCGTTGGATACAAACTAGTTAAAATGCATGAAATGTGTATTTTTTTACACGTCGTTTCTTAGCTGGCTTAAACGCCGGCTGGAAGAGATATAAATCATGCTGCGCGCTATAATAGGAATCTTCGCGGCATGTGAAAGATACACGGAATATCATTGTTGGAATTATCGCTGAAATTCTATTCAATATTTATAATTAAATGCTTTTAATTAAACGCTTATATATGTCATAAACTTCCTATTCTTCTATAAAAGTAATTTCTGTAAGTTTTTCAAATTTTCAAATAAACAAATAAGTAACGAAAGCTTACACGGAGATAGATTTTAATACTTAGGTATTTCGGTGTGAATTTTATATATTAAGGAGTTTTTGCAATACTCTCTATCCTTATACGGTAAACGTCATGCGTATGTGCAGTTTGACTTTCCACTAACGTAACTTTAACATTTACCGTATCTGGACGTACAATATTGCAAAAACTTTTTATCGTACATATATCCAATTCTACAAACTGTCGAAACCATTTTCAGTTTTGCAAAGCAAATATATAGACAGAACTAGAGTAGTAATATCACAAATTAAATTGATAAACAATTTAATAATATTGATGCTATATAATATTAGGCATTTTAGAAGGATATTAAAATTTCAAATTTGATAAAATTTACATTGATTTCCGAAATAAAATTAATGCAATTCATTTGAATAATTGCTTTAATGGATGCAATCATAAGCATCTCTTCTGCATAACTTCTGAGAAAGGCTTTCCCTATAATTCTAACGTCCTTACGCTACTAATTTGTCTAAAGCAAGATCCATCTATATTGGGTTTCAGATCGAGTTCAGACTTAGGGTGCAGTGTCAAGGCCAAGAGTCCATCTCGCGACAGATTCGACGATGGTGGTACTGGTTGGAGGATCGGACCTCGAAGTCTCCGGGCTCACCGACAGTATTTCACAGCGCGGTTGTTTGAAATTCTTCGCGTGAAGTCGTACCCGTATTTATAGACTCGCGTGTAGCGGTGCATAGGGCCGTGTACGCGAACGCGCGGCACACGCTTCACGTACGTAGCTCCCTCGTCTTCCGTCTCGAGGGTGGGTAGGTAGGTAAGTAGATACGTGTGGAACAGCCGTCGATCCCGAGCCACATCGGGCCCACGTTCGCAGGAAACGAGCGGCAGCACGTCGCGATCATGACGCGATGCGTCCACAACAAGAGCACTACCGGCCTGACCCGCCGACGAATGCGTCTCCGTCGCCGTCGAACCGTCTGCGCTCGTCGTCCTGCTGGCTGCGATCCACCGATTCACTTCCGGGCATGATTGCCGGCGATACCGCCACTATCTTCCGAGTCCTCGTTATCCTGCTCGTTCTCGGTTACGCGGTCGCCGCTAATAGTCTGGTAAGTGCCTTATATACGGAAAGAACAGTCTTACTGAAGATAAAAAAATTTAAATACAGATCTAAAAATAGGTTATCAAATTATGTATGATACTCAAACTGGTTGCTATAATGTCAAAATTTTTTGTAGCTCATCATGAATAATTATTTTGATAGTCCAACAAAATTATTTTTAGATCTTAATCTTGGTATCTACTTAAATTTTTTTAGACACTTTAGCAAAATAATTCTTTTCATGTACATATCGATAACACCAATGAAAAGTGTTAGGACTATAAAATTTTCAATTTTTTGGATTTCTTAGATGGTTTCATCCGGATTATTGTTCGTCAGTTGCAATAGAAACAAAATATTAAATGCAAAATTAGGAAGAAATTAAGATCGAAGTTTTATATTCTTTTAAATCGTATTAATATACATATAACATTAGAAGATAAATGTAAAAAAATTGAAAAAAAATATAGTTATAATATTATTTATTAGAGTCGTCAATATGCCCCCTCTATTTTACCACAAGTTTGATATTTTCGTCAATAATAATGAAAAATATGAAATCAAAATGGTATTTAAGTTGAATGCGATAAAGGAAATTTTAAATTTAAATATTGTACGAAAAAAAATCATCATTATTGATGGTAAAATACGAAATATGTATAGGTTGTAATGCAGTTTCCATAGATTTTTGCTGAATTTGAAATTAATTATTTATCAAATTGATTATTTGAGCGAAAACATATTTTTGCGAAAATTAGAAGCTGCGTAGAATCGCATTATTAGCTGAAAGGTCTCTGGTAACTACTATCTGCAGCACAGTGGGCAATAGTTTTCATGATTACGACGCGTTCAGCCTCTAGGGATGCAGAAGTATCGACCTCGCATCGTATTACGGGAAGCAAGGACTTTCCTGGCTGATCGATTATTGATCGTAAAATCGTTTAGCTGGGAAAAACAGGGTATTACATGTACCTTATACCCAGCTAATGTACTGTAATTTTGGATATTTATCGTGTACGAGTTTACTTAATTGGTTTGCCGAATCGTATCTGGTAATATCTAGCCGGCATGCCGCGGCAGTCGGTTAATATACACCGTAATTTCAGAAAGCGCGTGTAATCTCGCGCTTCAAATTTGATGTAGAATAAATTGATATTGACCTGGATAACATAAATTTGCGAAAAATTATACTTAATCTCGAATTGCCGCTACGCTTACATAGGCTGTATACTACAATTTTATATATGTCCACTATTATTCACTCAATAAACTAAAAACTTTAAATATACGCGTATATAAATACTTTCAAATTTAATCAACGGGAACAAAGTCGAACGTTCTGAAAAGGGTTTCGCACAAAAATTAAAATTGTTAAGTGCGCGTAATTAGTACAAGGAAAATATTCTTATACTAAACTCAACAATCCTGGTTTATTTTAAAACAAACCCGGATTTATGTAGTCACTTTATCAAAAGTAAATTGGTGATAGTAGATAGATTCAGGAAGATGGAAAGGTTCAAGAGAGGCCTAAAGCAACCGATAAAGTATCGTGTCAGCAGGAACCTAGCAATACTAGCGCAATTACCGACCAAAGCGAAGAAACCTCGTTTTAGCTAAGCACGTCGGGATAATTACTGTAATTTTGTTTCGTGGCCATTTTTAGGTTACAATAATCATTTACAGTTTCGAGGTTAATATGCCGACACGTAAACTAGTTCTATCGCTAGGCCGGTAATAACATTGCTCAAAATCCTCATTTTACTGTAATCGCTACTATTTAAAAAGAGTTACGTCTAGGCGCGAGAACCAATGAGGTATTTATATTTCGCAAAACACGGGGTTCCGTTACGAGCAAAATTGAAGCAACCATGTTGAAAATTATATGAACTCTGCGTAGGATGAACGTTAGTTAGACAAAATACATTCTACAAGAAGAACGCGGAAGCGTGACATCCTAAAGTTAAGTGGTAATTGTCAATTTATCTTACTATAATGTAGAACACGCATCGTGTTTGTTGTGCAAAGTTTAAGAAGGATTTTTTTTCTTAATTATGCAAACACAATTCGCAAAGTCGTGATGTTGGCATCTGAAAAGTTTTGCAACATATACATCTAGCGATCGTTTTGAACGATTATATCTATGAATGTATTCAAGATTTTGGGACAAACAATTTATCAATTCAGTCGTCATATAAATTTATTTTACACTGAAAAAAGTCTAACTGTATTAATTAGAATTTTAGTTGAAAATGAATAAATAAAAATTTTCTGATTAAATCTATTGTAATTCTAGTTGAGATAAACCAGAATTCTGATTGATACAATCAGACTCTTTTGGTTTACCTATTTTTAACCACAGAATTTTTTTTTAATGTATAAAAATAAGAAAATGAATGAAGAATTTCGGAAGGGGATCCCCTACTTCTGGGACACCCATGATTGTAACAATGACTTTAGGCCTGTTCTTTTTGTCTAAATTTTTGCAGTTCATTTTTCTTCTTCTTCTTTCCTTTTGAAGAAAAAAGGAAGAAAGATGAACTGGTGCAAAGATTCAGCTGAAAAGAACAGGCCTATTGTATTGAAATTTAGCGGTGCACGCTCGAATGCTAATTTTCATCAATAAAATCCTCATCAGTTGTAGCGATGCGGGTTATATTTGGCCGGACGAATGCCACTTCGGCTGTTTCGATGCACATATGTATATACATGACGTTACCATGCGTGGATGATATCACGTCGTAATCGGTATTCGCAAAATCATTGCTGGGTTATCGTGCCAGGCACGGTCGTTTGGTTAGTCTAAATGATCGCACCAGTTATCACAATCGATATCGGATTCTCCGCATCCTTCAGCTAGACAAAAAGAGGAAAAGAATAGGAAGATCAGTGCATTCATACATGTTTGGAAAACGTATAAAGAAACAGATAAGCGTGTATCTGAGTCCGATAGCGTATGTCGAATAAACCAATTTATGACACAATCGGCGTCAAGATAGACGTTACGTCAGATACTCTATCGATTTTGGAAGAGCAACATTGTCCCATCCTCGACTTCATGTCAACTTTTTAACCGTAAATTCGAGTTTGTTGAAAATAATCGAACGACAGATATTTGTTTCTCTAGTTTATCCGGCAGCGATATCACGATCGCGTTGTATTTGGAACGCGAGCGTGTTTTTACTGCGGTCTCTCCGCATCCATTTTACCGAGTGAAGGTCTGTTTATTGCTACGTCGACTAGAGGTGACGTTTGCGAGCTAGGTAGGAAGTCCCGAGGAAACTTAACTGCATCGTTTTTCCAGCTCGTTTATTAACGTGTCCCGTCATGTAAATATTGCCGATATGCTCCCTTCAAATGTCGTTAAGTATCTTAACGTATAGTTTCTCTCTAGATAAGTTTAATATAATATTATCAATTACAAATTAAAATACATTCTGCCAAAAAAAAGTTTCACAGGTCAAGACACAGGTCAAGACATCAGGATTGTTTTCTTCAATGACAGTGTATTTATGATATTCCTCGTAGTAGAGCTTCGACGCATTTCTCGACGTAGGTCGAGAGGAATCGAAATAGTCCTGTGGAATTTTGCCGCATCTGTCACCATTTCCGAGATAATAGTCCTCTTGTCTACCTGTACGTAACCTTTTTACAACGAGTGTATTTATGATATTTCTCGTATTTACAAAGATATGTATTTTTTCACCGCTGATCATCGTCTGCGTGTACATTATACAACTTTGCTTAATGTCTTATCGAGTTTTGCGACGCCAGAGAAGCGACTCATATCAATACAGTGACAGCATAATCACGCCTGCGTAATAATTCCTCCTTTCTACTATACAAAAGCAAAACAACTCCTGTACACTTCTTGGCACCCCATGAAGTGTTCCTTGCATTCTCCCGAGTAAGCTCTAAAGTCGAAGAAGCACCTTTACGCATCCCGGAGAGTTGAATCAACCGCAACGCCGATTTTCCAATTAACAGTCGCTTCTCAGCATTGAAGCGAGTATAGTCGGACATTCGCGAAGGAAACGTTACATCAATCGCTGAACATCTCTTGACTTTCTAACCGCGTAGGTATCACTCGTCGACGGTTGACCTCGGCCCTGTTGCATGTACCACGGGCACCCCGTGGTGAAACTTCCTGTCGTGTTATCCTCGAAGATGGTCGTGTAGTCCCCGTTATTACAACGCCGAAAGGCTCTGGGGCATTCCAGCAGCTGTTTCCACTTTCCCAAAGAGGCAACCTCTGCCGAACATTATCGCGAACACTGGTGCAAATACGCCACGGTAACACAAGCCCATCGATTTTCCAAACGATTTCTCTACCATTACATGAGAATCATCAATCGTTTTATCATTTTAATATGTCGCTTCTAGAATGCAAACTATACAAGATATCGTGATATGTCTTATTTTATGCTTCCTCTCCTCTATTGCATTTATTATAATATTAAAATGAAAATATATTTGTATCTTATTAGCAAAAATCTTTTCACCATTACGTTATTTTTTTATGTATTTTATTTTTATAAAATTGTAGAGTCGATTCACATCTAGCCTATCCGCGTTAAATTTATCACGTTCGGCAATGAATTACCGTTTTTAGATAACAGCGAATGTTTCGAATGTCGTGTCCTAAGAGACGTGTATTCGTTAAAAAAAAAAAAGAAGCAAGGAAAAAAAGAGCGAAGTCCATGCGCCGCGAGTTAAAGCCTAATGGAGAAGCCGGCCCTTCTTTCGCTTCATTAAATTACGCAAAAAACGTACTGGTACCGCGTGCTTTTCATTGGTGCAAGAACAACCAACACGGGAAAGACTGGAACGTCTCTTGGCACCCCGTGGAGAATCCTCTCTCCTGCGGGACCCTCCGGATCATTCGGCAGCTCCTTCTGGCGGATCCAGCTCGATTAGCTTCTTACTGTGTATCGTGACGACTACCGCGTGGAATTTCAGCCCGTTGTCGGGCAGGAAGTATGTGAGTCTCGCGGCTGATAAAAAGTTGCC